TATCACCTCTGGTCTCAACATTTTTTTTTATATTGTGGTGACCAAAACTGAATGCAATATTCCACATGTGGTCTTTTTGCTGGAGGCTCCATCTCTCCACCATGATAAGAGTGGATGCCCTTCCACTCCTTCTCCTTTGTAAAATTATCTAACCAACCTTCTCCTTTGTAAAATTATCTAACCAAAGTCACTCCAGCTCTGAGCTAGTATCCCCCCCATACCAGCAGATTCCCAAACTTAGACTGTTGCTAATTGTTATATAAACATACTCCTTATTATGAATGGGACTGTCCTAGTTTTATGCTGCATGCAAGAGGAAGGATAAGCCTAAATGATATGTGGCTGAGAAAAAGTGTGTCACTTCCACGCTGTCAAGAATTCCTGGCTCTGCCTTGTCTAGCAGGGAGGCTATTTGGAGCACTTTTACAGTCAGTGAAGTATTTTTAGGATATGGAATGTCTCCATCCAGTCAAGATGGCTCTTGGATCTTCCTAGACAGGAAGTCCCTGTTTATTTGGTTTGATCCACAATAGTTTTCCTGTTGCTCTCCGGCTTTATTTCATGCTTCCTGACTTTGCTCCAGCAGCCACCTTGTTTTATTGCTGTCCATGCAAGCAAAGCCAAATTTTGTCTAATTAGGTTAAAGGAGTCCCATGGAGGGGAGAGGGGTGTCAAGAAAGTTGGCAGCCATGCAAAGACCCACCCTTTTGTTTCTATTGTTAAAAGGGGGAGGGGAGGATAGGACTTTATTCACATGCTGGTGGATGTAATTTTACTTATTTGACCTCATCCCCAGACATATCCTGAGGGAGCTAAGGGCCAAACTGATTGTGTGGAATCAGATCTAGAACCTCAGAAAATATAGAAGCCTTGAACTGTGAACTTGGAAAGGACTCCAAAGATCATCTTAGCAAAAGTAACACACCATCCAATATTTATTTATTCCTATTTATTATTAATAGCATTTATTTGCAATAAGAAATAAATAATTTTGCAATTGTAAAATGAAAAGTGGAGATATAATACTATAACAGTTGGCAAACATTAGCAGTTTGTGTTTACTGGAATGGAAAAGTCATAATAGAGACTTTTTTAGCATCTTCAAGCAGAAGTCGAATTGATTGTGACAAATCTTTATTTATGCTGCTTTTCCTTATTCAAAAGTCTGAAAAATAGCATATTCTAAAAATATTTAAGTTGCTTACCAAAAGAAATGTATTGTAAAAGGCTTAAGTCAAATATATAGTTATTAATATACCAGTCAACTAACCAATGGTCAGTGTTATTTTAGCAGTTATAGAACTTCATGAGATGTAGACAAACATCAGACATATTATGATTATCAAAAGTTAAGAAATCATGTCCCTCATTTTAATGTGTTTTAACAATTCTTTCTACCCACTACAAACTGAACAGTATATATTATTTAAATATTAAACATAAATCCATGCCAATGAAAGTTTATATAACTGGAAGCGAGAAATCTGAGCCACTTTGTAACCAAAGGATCTTCATTGCCTCTCATTAGCAAAAGATTTAGATTATCAACCATGTTGGTGACTCTAAGTTTGCAGAAACAAAACCAAGATGGAATAGGCTAGCAGTCGTTTATACAATGCATGTGTGCGTAATCCCTAATGACACACAAACAAGGGTGCAACATAGTAGAAAGAATTTCTTCATGGATAAATAGAATATCTGTGATAGTTTTTCACAACTGATTCTTCTATGCTATACCAGAGTTTTTGAACCTCATCAACTTTAAGTGCAGTGTGGCTTGAATGAGCTTATCAGTGTACCAGGTAGCTTAGGCAAAAGCAGTGGAATTATATTTGGAGTTAAAACCCCAAGTCTCCTCAATTGGTGACTATGGATAGATAGTAGCAGCTATCTCTCACCATCTCCAATGCCGAATGACCAGCATCTCTTCCTTTCTCTCCAAAATTTCCGTTTTCAACTGTCACTGGACATTCCAATTCCCACTCCTCAACTGACAAACGACAGAATTCCAAAGGACAAATCTCAGTCAGCAGTCCCATCTTTTCTTTCAAATTATCACACAAGTTTCTATACAAACAAAACAGACGAGGTCAATAGTTGTAGTGTAGTCTTAATGGAAGATCTTGTCTCTCAATCTGCCATTTTAAGTTATTATCAACTATTTCCACTGAAATAAGCAATTTAGAAGTACAAAATGATCAGAGAAGATGCTTTACAACAAACTAAAGGAATCAAAATGTACATGAAAGAGGTGGAAACAAAGAACCAGCAGTGGAGATGAGGAAGATGGGCTGGAGCCTCTAAATTATTCTTCCACTCCAAACAGGATTCAAATAGTTTTAAAAACCAAGACCAGTTTCTTATCCTTTATTTAAGCAAAATAAGGTTTATCAGGTGTGTCAGAAATATCCGTACAGCTTTTAAAGACTCATCAAATAAAATATCAAACACATAGGTGTAATGGTTCAGGCACCAATTTAGAAATTTGGAGATCATGAGTTCTAAACCTGTCTTAGTTTTTTGAAAACCATCTGAGTGATTTCGAATCAGTCCTTCTCTCAGTCCAGCCCATAGGGTGGTTGTGGGAAAAGAAGAGGAAGGAAGAGGAGGAAGGGTATTGTGTATATTCACCACCTTGAGTTAGTCATAAAATAAAAGTGGGCTACAACTATAAATTTGTTCATATGTTCAGTCAATCCAGTCAAAGATGGAAACTAACCAAGGTGAGAAGCAACTTAAACTAAGGAGAAAGGTTGTGAGTGCTCCAACACCAGAAGTTTGTAAGAAGAGACTGGGCAGCCACCTGTCTGAAATAGTCCAGGGCAGGTGTGTCAAACTCATGTCATCATGGCAGCATCACATGATGTATTGGGACTTTCCCCCCCTTCGCTAAACTGGGTGTGGCCAGCATGTGACACATCTGGCCCTTGGTCCATGAGTTTGATAGACCTGGTCTAGGGTCTCCTGCTTGAGCGTGCGGTTAGACTAGAAGATCTCAAAGGTCCCTTCCAAGTCTGTTATTCTGTTATTCTATTAACTTAGTCTTGCAATGATTATGATTCACAACGGGCTTATTACTCACATTGAGCAATATTTTAAGGGCAAAAATGCTAACTATGTGGCAAATTTATTCAGAATAAAAAACTTCAACGTTTCTTTTAATGCTTGGTATAAAATCTGTACTGAGTATCATCAAGGTCTGAAGAATGGGGCTTTTTGGAATACTCTTAACAGGGTTAATTTTGCTTTCTGGCCAAATTTTAGGAAAAGGTTTTGATGAGTGTTGTAATTGGCTTCTGGATTGCAACAACAAATTTCACCTGAAATTTATTGAGCTTTTTGTGTAACAATATTTGTAATCCATTTTTAAGAACTTTAGTATTTTTCTTATCACCCCCCCCCCAAGTTTCAGTTCACAGTAATGAAAAGTTCCCCTTCTAGCCAATTTTGTTTACAAATAATTATCCAAAAACCCCTTCACTTTTTTTAAAGCTTGTTTCTTACCCATCCCAAATGGAGCGGAGTTTTCTAGCATCTTTTCTTTAAGAAAGCTTGTTGTACAATTCTGAGAGGGGATGATCCAAATGCTCCTGTGGTGGTGTTCATTGCTTTGTGCTAGATTTTCATGTTTTAGTGATTCTTTTTTTTATAATTTTTATTTTCAAAACAAACACAACACAAAGAATCCTCCTTTTTTACATACTGTAGAAAGTGTATCAGTTGGTTACAAAAAACTTTTGTGCATCT